TCTACAAAGAGAGTCCAGGACAGCCACGGCTACACAGAGAAAACTTGTCTCAAAAAAACCAAACCAAAACCAAAACAAACAAACAAACAAAAAAAAGCCAGACCTTCTTAGTCAGACATCTCTTTCTGGAAGCTCTTTGAATATTAAAGGAGCTTTTTAAAGAAACTGAAACACTGCCAGGCTATCAGTTTTCTTCCTCAAGTAACTATGATAAATATAGTATGAATAATTTTCAGGAAACAATGTGTTTAAAAAAATTTCTTTTTTTCCAGAGAGGATCTAGCCATGCCTTCCAGGTTGACCCTAGACCCAGGGTTCAGTGAGTACCCTTTCTCAGCTTCTACCATAGGTGGACCCACAGGTACATGCGACTTAACCCAGCTTCTTTCTATTTAAGATTTTATTTTATTTTATTTTTTAATTTTTGTCTTTTAGTGTTTTGGTTAGGTTTTAGTGACAAGCACCACTTTATGTTACCTAAGGTGCTCAGACAGGTCTCCAACTCACCATCCTCCTGCCTCTACATCCAGAATGTTGATTTCTAAAGAAAAAAAACAAGTTTTACTACAGTGTATATTTAAGCTATATTGGACTGTATAAGATACGTGGGTATTACATAATATACACAGGTATTAAAGTGGTTATTAAAATGAAACAAAGGAGCACAATCATCATGTCTGCTCTTCCTGATCCACCCAGGCATGGCTACAGTACCATTAGGCCCAAAGCTTGCACTGTTCCTAACCGTGGCTCTGAAGCTGTGCACTAGCTCAGTCCACTTGCTCAGTCCGCCTGGTCAACCTGCAGATTCCATACTTTGTATCAGGTTTCTCTCTCTCTCTGTGGTCTGTATTCTTTTTATCAATCCAAAGGCTGCCAAATACCCATCTGAAGAGTTGTAAATGCAAATGGGAACACTACCAGACTGTACACACCTCTTTCACAAAAATTAGTCTAGCCACCTTCCCCGACTCTATTTCCTTCTATAAACACAACATAGGTTGCCTTACACTATGCTGGTCTATAAAGACTAGATTCTAGATAAGAAATCTGATCAAGGAAGCAGGTATGTCTCCTGTATTAGATTATAAGGAGTATTAATTAGGAAATTTATTAGAACACAGGAGTCAAGACAGGACCACTGGGGGAGGCCGATCCCCAGTGGTCAGCTGGATTCCAGGTTACTTCAGCTCTACAGCATGATGCTTTCATTTGGATTACCACCCCTGCTGCAAGGCAGCTCCTGGCAGGTACCTAGATGATGTGCCTGCCAGCACTTATGTAAAGCCGCCACACTTCCCTTTAATAAACATAAACCTAGGTTCCTACAGTTTCAAAGCCAAAATGCCAGATCCTCTTTCATTCTATACTTTGCCTTAAAAAAAAATGACCTTGCCCTTGACAAGAAGCACCATGCTACGGAGGACCACATCTCCAAAACCATTCAGCCTACTTGACACCTGTTCAGAAAATAACCAGTCTCAACACAGTAACAAGCAGGTACTCTCCCTGTTTCACAATGAAGCTCAAGGCTCTCATGGGGCCGCTCCAAGTTCTCCCTACTCAATGCCAACAAACTTAGCAGACAAAGATTCATACACCCTGATACACTGTTGACATACAGATGTAATGCGCTGTCAGAGTGACAGCCCGGAAATGACTGAGCCCTCTAGTCATCTTAGGACACTCATTAAACAAGTACTGGGCATCAGTGCTCACTGAAGAAGCAAAGTTCGGTGTCAACACTAGGCAGGAAGAGACTTCTTAGAGCCCTCTTCCTGCACAGAGTCCCCTCAGTTTGACAATGGAAATACTTAGAAAGAAAAAGATAAAAATAATAAAAAGGGCATTTTATGTATCCCGAGAGAATCAGATAAAGGGTAAAAGGCATTTTAACCAGCAAACACCAATTTTATAGCTATGCACCAGTCAATGAGGGGGGGTACTGGCACAAGTGACTCTTGAACATTTGCAACAGGGTCAGTTCTGAGATGGGCTTTGAGTGCAAATCACATCAGAACTACAGATTTAGGAGGAAATCTTGAAAAACATTGCAGCAACTATGATATATATACATATATATATCATATCATATATATATATATATCATACACACACACACACACACACACACACACACACACATACACACACAGGAGTTAAAGCCATTAAGACCCGTTAAGAATGGGACTGCTAGAAAAGTTCTAGAATTACCTCCCATTTCTTCTGAATGATGCTGCTCCAGCCTTGATGCTGACGCAAACTAGAAATGTCATTCAGTTTTTCCCAATTTCAGTTCTCATTTAAAAGCCACAAGAAAAGCAAAGTGAAAGAGTAGTCCTTTCTCAAACAATTTGATTATGATAACTTAATAATAAAAAAATAACTTAAAAACAGCCATAAAGTAACCAGCAGGCACTATTAGAAAATGTGCTCTTCCAGAGGACCTGGGTTCAATTTAACCATGTGGGCCCTAGAGGTGGTGGTGGTTTCTGTGTTACTCAACTACAAACACAAACAGGCAAACCATTAACATGCTGCAAGGGGAAACAACTGAGCACATGACACAAGCCTGCAATCCCAGTTAAGGCAGGAGGAGGATGAGTTAACCAAGGGTGAGGGCTAAGGCTGTAAAGCATTTGCCAGGAAAACATGACAACCTGAGTCCTGAGCCTCAAAGATCCAAATCCATAACCCCCGTGTTTAGGGGATGAAGGAAGGCAGATCCCTGGAGACTGCTGGCCCAAAAGAATCTGTGAGCTCCAGGTTCACAAACAAACATGTCTCAGAGAAACAAAGCGGGCAGTGACAGAGGAAGTCACCTGACATTGCAACACACAGGCACAAATGCATGGACACACAAACATGTACACACAGAAATATACCACATAGAAAAACGAAAGCAGGGAGCTAGGGAGGTAGCTCAGAGGCAAGGCACCTGCCCAGCTTGTGCAAGGCCCAGGATTTGGCCCCCTAAAAAGGAAGGGAGAGGGGGAGAATAAACATAACTTCTCTTTCATCAACCACTCAAAGACAAAATAAACCCTGCCCTAAGTTCTCTAGGGCTGCTGATATGGCTGTGCTGCACAGCCGCCATGAAAATCTAAAAAGTGTACTTTTCCCACAGCGTTAAGCGTATTTACCTTCTGTGGTGCTGAGTACGGAATTCAGGGCCATATACATGCTAAGCAAGTGGTCTACCGCTGTGCTACATACCTTCGCTGAAGAGGTCTATTTTAAGAGCGAAAAATTCAAGGATACACTTGGTAAGTGGATTTTGTCATTGCTCTGATATGTGTGTGTGTGTGTGTGTGTGTGTGTGTGTGTGTGATTGCTCTTTTATATACACAGGCATACATATACATACATATATTCTGCCATATTCGATTGTTAAAATACTGCTCTGGGGGGGGTAAATCTAAAGTACTTCTGAGTTCATGAAAACGCTCATTTTGGGGAGCTATCATCTTTCCTTCTCTCCTTTCTTGAGACACAGTTTTCACTCTATCCTAAGTTAGCCTTTAACTCACTATACCTTCCAGGCTGGCCTCAGACTGCTGGATCCTCAGCCTCCCGAATGCGAGGATTACAGACTTTCACCACCATGCCTGGCTCGAAATTTTCCAATAAGAAAAAGATATTATAATACAAATCCTTAACAAAATTAAGATCTGCGAATGAATCCTCGGGACTTCCACAACAGTTAATTGCTTCTACAGCGTACTAATTTATTCAAAAAAGGCCATCTCCAGGTGTCAATTCTTTATGCCCTTGAGTTCCATCAGCTAAGGATAGTCTTCAGGCTACTTGGCAGGTGACACATCCCTCAGAAACTCTTTCCTTGTGCATTTACATGCCAAGCTCAATTATGCTGCCAGCAGAGTAAGCAGAAAGGATTGTACATAATTTAAACTAGGGAGTTGATTGGCCGCAGCTTCCGGCCTTGATGGAAAGGATAATGGGTAGAGCTCTGAGTACGATCCCCAAACACTGAAATCACTCTCAAAGAATCGGATCTTCTAACACTGCCCCAAAGACTGCCAAATTCCCATTAGAGCGTCCTATTTTTAGTCTTTGCAATCGGCCTTTTAAATTGCATTCTACAATACAATGTGCTTAACTAAGTTTACATAGAGAATGAAGAAGCTTCCTAAGGCTTTAATCCTTTTAAACATAGGAAGAAATTTTAAGCTTCCAAATCTTATTATTATCATTTTTTTTAGCCTTACATTTAAGTCTTGCAAACATGCATTTTAAAAAGAAAAGGTAAAATCCTGGCCCAGAGGGAGGACAAGAAGGGAGACACTAGGCGGTTCCTGACAACCAAAGAGGTGGCGGTGGAGAGGGAAACAAGGTATGGGGGGCAGGTAAAAACCACTCGCGGGAGAGCGGGCGCAGGCGACGCGCCACCGACCAGAGAGACACCGACGCGGAGCAGAAGCCGCAGGATCCCCGGGGAGGCGAGCGCTCGCGGAGAAATTGGCGCGACGCGCGACAACAGCACACCCGCAGAAAAGCGGGGGAAACCGGAGAGGGGGCGGACGCGAGGGGACCCGCTGCAACTCCCGGGAGGACAGCGCCCGGGGAGGAGTGAGCTGCCCTCCCCAGCTCGGCGGCCGCCACGAGCCGGTGGGTCCCCTGCAGCCCGGCTGTTCTCCTCACCTGGGCATCCGAGGCAACGCAAGGGCTACCGCCGGGCGCCGGGTCTGTTTCCAGCCCCGCTCGCTGACATGGCGGCCGACGAGCTGTCACACAGCGGGCTCGGGTCTCCCGCGGCTCCGGAGGATCGGACACCTCCAGCCTTCCCGCCCCGCCTCCCTCCACGCGCCCCTCCCGGCAGGCCGCCGGACGGAGGAGCATAGAGTGCGAGGTTGAGGCTAGAGAGGAAGTGCCGAGGGAGGACGACCATAGAGTTCCGGCCCGGACACACCTGGAGAGTCCACTCACAGGCGTCTGTGGGCGGAGCCTGGGCGGAAGCGGAAGCGAGCGAGGAAAGGGCCGAGGCTCCGTCGTTCGCATGCGCCGTAGGTAATGTTTACTTCCTCCCGGCCTAGTGAGGAGGTGAGGTGTGAGCACGTGAGATGTGGTGAGCCTTGTTTTTCGCCGAAGCTACCCTAACTGGTGGTTGGGGTGGACGTTAGAGGAAGATGTGGGGCCCCGCGATGGGGCTGCCTCCGCGCCTGGCACTGTCCGTGTTGGCTGGCTCCGGTCGCTCTTGCATTCTGGAGTCCGGAGCCGCGACGCGGAAGGGCTGGCTAGCAAGGACCCGACGTGGCTTCTCTGAGATCCACCCGCAGCCGTTGTGCGATGCTGATTTCCATTATTCGCCCGCGTGGGCAGCCAGGGCTCGACCCGAGCCAACGTATCACCTAATAAATGATAAATTGGCCAAGAACATAGCACGAGACCTTCTGGGGACGGAAAATCCATCCCGTCAACTTATACTTGAGTGCAATCCGGGTGAGTTGAGCAGAAGGTTTGCCCTTAGCTTTTACATCCCTAATATTCTAAAGTAGGTTTGTTTATCCTGCGCGCGCGCGTGTTTAGGTCAGAAGACAATTTAAGCGATAGTAAGTTCTCGCCTTACACCCTGTGGGTTTCCATGATTGAAATAAAGTTGTCAGGCTCGACGCCAAACGCCTTAGCCCTCTGAGCGTTTTCATTGGCCCTGAATTGTATTTTGTGATTTTGCAGAAAGTCGGTTCCGTTTAGACTTCACAATTGTTTTATGGCTTAAACATTAAGATAGTCCATGAGTAAGAGGTTAGCTGCAAACTTTGGTCCTGGATTTTCTTCTAAGAAATAGTGTTTTAGGAGTGTTAAGTTTTGCTGTCAGTGATCATCCTGGAATGCTCGGCTGCTCGCTTGCCTGTTGGGATTTTGTGGGTACAGATTAACTGCCCAATCATTGTTTAACATATATAAAAAGAATCACATCTGGGAATGTTGTGAGATTGAAAACTTGTGCAAAAGTCTGCTTCGAAAGAGACTGATGGCCAGGTGCCGTCGCCCATGCCTTTAATTCCCAGCACCGTATTGCACACCTTTAAGCTCAGGCAGAGGCAGGAGGGTCTCTGTGAGTTCGAGGCTAGCCTGGTCTATATATATAGTGAGTTCCAGCCAGTGAGATCCTATCCCAAAATCACTGTGCGTGTGTGTGTGTGACTATGTGGGTTTATTTTGCAAATAATGTTTTTCTGTTAATTTTCCAGGTCCTGGAATCCTGACTAAAGCATTACTTAGAACTGGTGCCAAAGTGGTTGTCTTTGAAAGTGAAAAGATTTTTATTCCACATTTGAAGGTATATATTTATTTTCCTAAAGTAATTTGTTGTTCCATCCACTGACTTTGAATGGGTTAAAAAAGTAAAGTTAAGCATATAATTTCTTCTAATAGCTCTATAAAGACTAGGCCCTATTGAGTATTCCATGCTTGTTGAGTAACTAGAAGCTTGGGAGTTGTGAGATCTGTTTTCTAGTTCCTATTGGGGCCCCAAAAAATGATAGCCTCAGAGTATGACACATTGATTCACAGTATTTTGAAATAAAGGACATTTGGAAGCCCTCAGGTGTAGCCTCAGAAATAGTGTTTCTGCCCTCCTATTTCTTTTCCTCTTTCTCCTTCAAATTGAGCCATAGAGAGCAGACCTCTTATTCCCAAAGGACAGGTATAGGGACTAGGACCACCTCGCTGCAAAGCAAACCATGAGCCTTCGGTTGAGAGCTGTTATTATTGTAAGCTTTCTGCATGAGAGTAGCCTATGACGACAGCCTACCTTGATTCACAATGGGTCAGGAGTCCTTTTTTTCCAGAACTTCTTGCCCTCTGCCCAAAAGGAAGGAATGACACGGCACACAGAGCACACGAATCTGAACGGACAGGTCTTGGGTCTGTCCCCACCTTTTGTGGGGTTATGGGATATCACACTTCTTTTATGAAAGCTCATCCCCACATAGCTTCCCATTCTCCATTGACTCTAGGCATAAAACTGGGTATTTTTCTCCAAATCTAGATTGAACTACTTGTTACATCAGTCTTCTATTGATAAATTTGTTACACTTTGCTATTGTTAACTTACCTTTTGTTAAATGAGTGTAGTTTGATTCCTTAAGATCAGGAGGGAGTATCTCACATCTTTCCCTTCCTGTACAGTCTAGCTGAGTGATATATAATTGGTCACTAAGCTTGTGTCCCTATCTTCAGTAGGTGGTGCTATGTCCCTGCCTTTTGAGAGTGTGAATTTCGAGAGTGAGTGCTAAGGTTAGGTTAATGGGTCCGTGTAAACTCTGAGTTTACTTAGGACTTCAGATGAAGGCAAAAAGGTTTGAGATGGTCAAATTCAGTTGCAGAGTGCTATTTTTTCCAAATGATTTTTTCAGTGTTTCTGAGTCTTTACCTGACAGCTGACCACTTGAGAAGAAATTAATTCAGAAAACATACTTATCTATGCCAACTTCCCGGAAGCATTGAAAATTAATGACCTGAATTTAAAGTGATGGGTGACAACAAAAAATTGTGGAACTAGCTATGATAGCTAAAGATTGAATTAAAAAAGAGAGAGAGAGAGAGAGAAACTTTGGGTCTTAAGTCGTTGTTGGCCTGGTGGAGTTATACTCAGTGGTAGAACAGTTGGTTCAAGCACAAACAAGGTCCACAGTTCACATCCTGGTGGTGAAAGTGAGCCTGGCAGGTGAAGTGCCACACACCTTTAATTCACCAAGTTTGGCCAGAGAGTGAGAGTCATTAGATTCCAAGGCTAACCTAAAATCTACATTGGCATTTCAGACCAGACAAGGACTACATGGTGAGACTTTTCCCCCCACCAAAAATTGTAAAACAAATGGTTTCTGTAGCTGACAGCTTTGTTTAAAAAAAAGGTCCTTGTGCTTCTTCCTCCCAAGTATAGTCCTAGCATGTAGGCAGCAGAGGCAGAATCCCTCATATTCGTAGTGAGTTCTAGGCTAGCCAGTGCTGCAGAGTGAGACACTGTCTTAACATTCCCCACACCCTCCCAAAAGATGTAGCTTTATGAGCAGCTAAAGCAATTAATAAAAAGAAAGGAAAGTTTGTTAGTGACTTTTTTTTTTTCTGGTTTTTTGTTTATTTGGTTGGTTGGTTTTTGGTTTTGTTGAGAAGAGGTTTCTCTGTGTGCCCCGGCTATCCTGGAACTTGCTCTGTAGACCAGGTTGGCCTCATCCACCTGCTTCTGTCTTCTGAGTGCTGGAATTAAAGACGTGTATCATCATGCCTGGCTTAGTTTTGTTCTTTAATGTGGTGCTGGTGGTTGAATCCAGAACCTTCCACATGCTACACAAGTACTGAGCTACAGCGCTCCACAAGCCACTGTGGAAGTTTTTGTTCAGACCTCTTGAGAAAACTCTTGCACTTTGAATATTTTTTCATGCAGTAATTGATTTTTATTTCCTCTGTTAAATTTGAGGTATATTAGGACTATGTATATCTTCCTGTAACATCGTTTACTTTATTGGAGGACTTGGAGAGCCTTCCTGGGCCTTGTGCATGTTTGCCAAATGTTCTACCTTTGAGCTTCATACACTCCCAGCCCTTGGGTTTTCAAGACCAGATCTTACTATATTATAGAGATAGGCTGGTCTTAAATTTATTGTGTAACTCAGGCCCTGCTAGAATCTGCAATTCTATTGCTTCAGTTTCCTGAGTGATTAGATTGCAGGTATGCCCCCCATGGTCAGCTATTTTAATTTTTTTCTTATTTTTTGAATTGTAGCAAGGTGTATATGATGCTGGAATTTCTAATGTCATCTTTTGTCTCTTCAGTCCTTACGGAAGAATGGGGATGGAGAGCTGCAGGTGGTTCACTGCGACTTATTTAGACTGGATCCTAGATCTCAGGAACCAGTCAGGGCAGATTTCACTTCACATGCAGTTTTTCAGGATTTGGGAATAAAACCAGTTCCTTGGTCAGCAGGTAATTTTTGTCATTCACTAAAGCTAGTGTAGTTCATTTACTAGTATAGTTCATTTGTTTACAAGATATATGTGTAATACATAGAAATTTATTTCAGTTCATGAGCAGCTACTCTTTCACTAAGCATGTCATTCTTTTTTCCTGCATATAAATAACCATTTTATATCTGTTATGTATTAAAGGGGAAAGGGAATCTTACTATTGAATTTTAATTGTGTATATTCATTGTCCATGGGACTGTCTTATATAAGAACATTTTCATATAAATATATGTTTAGATATACATTGTTTGTAGAATTTTTCTTTCATATCACCTTTAAATATTCATTTATTTACTTTGTGCATATGTGTGTTCTGCCTGTATGTTTTTGTCTGTACACCATGCTCATGCAGTGCCCATGGCAGCCATAATGGGCGTTAGAGTTCCCCACAACTGGAATTTTAGACAGTTGTTAGCTACTATGTGGGTGCTGGGAATTGACCAAGGTACTAGAAGAGCAGCTAGTGCTCTTAACCACAGAGCTATTTCTTCAGCCCCTCCATACTTTCCTCTTCACTCCTGCTAGCTTTCTTTGATCTCTTAGTCTTGCTTCTACTTTCAGGTCATAATATACATACATGATTTTACATAGCTATGTAAAATTTAATAACTACATATGAGCGAAAACAAGGTATTTGTCTTTCTGAGGCTAGCTTAATTTGCTTAATGTGATAATCTTCAGTTTCTTCCATTTCCCTGTAACTTTGTCCTTTATGGCTGAAAAAAAGAATTGACATTGTATATTATGGTCAGTTTGAACCCATTAATAATAAATTATACTGTCCGCTTGAGGGCTTGTTCCATTAATCAGTACAAAGTAAATTTTATCTCTTCTGATTGTGTTGGAAGTCTATTTAGTGTTTACATCAAGGACACCTGCTTGTCCCTTAGTTCCATTTGCCTGGAACACCTTTTTCTATTCTTTCACCCTAGGGTTTCATCTGTCTTTGAACTGAGGTTTGGTTCTTGGAAGTAACAAATAATGAGATCCTGTTATTGGTGTTTTTGTTATTGTTTTGTTTTGGTGGTGTTTAGGGTTGAGGAGAGTGTTAATTTGGTTGCTTGTTTGTTTGTTTAGACTGGGTCCCTTTCACTCTGTAACCTTGACTGGCCTGGTATGTTGCAGGCTGACCTCAAACTTCTACATATATGCTTGACTCTGCCTCAGGGCTGGGATTAAAGATATGTTCACTATACTTGTATTGTTTTGTGTGTAAGGTTTATTTATTTATTATTTATACAGTATTCTGCCTGCATGTACACCAGCATGCCAGAAGAGGGCACTAGATCTCATTATAAATGGTTGTGAGCCACCATGTGGTTGCTGGGAATTGAACTCAGGACTTTTGGAAGAGCAGCCAGTGCTCTTAACTTCTGAGCCATCTCTCCAGCCCTGATATTCTGTTATTAAATTCAGTTTGCGGATCTGTAGCTTTTGGTTGGGAAATTTAGACTGTTAACATTAAGCGTTACTATTGAAACATACCTATTAATTCCTGATATTTTATTAATCTTGTAGTATTTGGTGTATTGTAGTTTATTCATTCTTCTAGCCTCCTGGACGTTACCTTTCTACAGTCTGAAGAATTCCTTCAAGTATCTTCTGTAGGGCTGATTTAGTGGTTAAGAATTTCTTTAGTCTGCTTTTATTGTGGAATGTTTTTCTTCTTCTTGATTGTTATGTATCTTTATTGGGTGTGGTGTTCTGGCCTCACAGTTGTCATCTCTCCGGGTTTGAAATGCATCCTCCAAGCTCTCTTGTTTTAGTTTCTGTTGAGAGAGCTGCAGTTACTATGCTAGGCCTGGGTTTACATGCAACTTGCCATTTCTCTCTTGCAGCTTTCAAAATGCTTTCTTTGTTCTGTATATCAAGTGCTTTCACTGTCATACAATGAGAAGGTCCTTTTCTGGTCTTGTCTGTCTGGTGGTTGAATGAACCATTACTTGAATAGTCATGTCTTTTCCTAGATTCAGGAACTTTGTGCTATGATTTTCATTAAAATATTTTCTCAGGCTGGAGAGATGGCTCAGAGATTAAGAGCACTGTCTGCTCTTCCAAAGGTTCTGGGTTCAATTCCCAGCAACCACATGGTGGTCCACAACCATCTATAGTGAGATCTGCTGTTCTCTTCTGGCCTGCAGGCATATGTGCAGACAGAACACTGTATACATAATAAATAAATAAATATTAAAAAGATTTATTAAAAAAATTTAAATAAAATATTTTCGCTGTACCACATGTCTGCTCATACATCATAGTCACACTTGAGGGTAGTCCTTCAGAATTCCATTTCTGAATGCCTGTCTTACTCCTGGGCTATACTTTCAGATGCCGGGGGGTGTGCCACTTGACACAGTGTGTCTATTCTCCTAAAGCCTGGCTGGATACCTCAGCCATGTATCCATCTCACTGAATGCTGCATTAGCTGGGATTCAGATTTCTTCTTCACAGTCTAGAGGAATCCTGGCTAGGTGTCAGCATTAGTTCATAACACTTTTCGGGGGAAGGGGACGGGAGGCAAATGGGAGACAGAACTAAGCTGCTGAGTCAGCAGGAGGATTTTTTGTTTGTTTAATGTGCTTGTGTTTAAGTATGTGCATTTATATATGGGTGCCTTTGAAGCCAGAAAAAGGTATTGGATCTCCTGGAGCAGAAGTTAGAGGTCACTGTGAGCAACTCAAGATGGATGCTGGGAACCAAATTTGAGTGGTCTGGAAAAGCATCAAGTTCTCTTAACTACTGAGCCATCTCCCCAGATCCAAGAATCTTTTTTTTAAAAGATGTTTTGTGGCTATTCCCATGAGTGCCAAGAGGAAAGGGTTTTATTTTGTTTTGTTTTGTTTTGTTTTTCCCCTAGTATCTCCTTCTCTTGTCATTTCAGTAGGCAACTGTCTTAGTGAAGGTTTCTGTTGCTATGATGGAACACCATGACCAAAGGAACTTGGGGCAGAAAGAGTTTATTTTACTTACGCTTCTACTTCACTGATCATCATGGAAGGACATCAGGATAGAAACCTGGAGGCATGAGTAGAAGCAGAGGCCATGGAGGGATGCTGTGTACTTCCTTGCTCATTGTGACCTGCTCACACTGCTTTCTTATAGAACCCAGGACCTCCAGACCAGGAATGGATCCACCCACAATGAGCTGGGCCCTCCTGCATTGATGAGTAATTAAGAAAATGTCCTACAGGCTTGCCTATAGACCAGTCTCATCGAGGAATTTTCTTAACTGAGGCTCCCTCCTCTCTGATGGCTCTAGCTTGTATCAGGTTGACATAAAACTAGCCAGTATGGCAACATTTGTTTTTCTTCTTTTTCTTTGTTATGTTTGAGGACATATTCGTGTGTGTGCACATGTGCATGTGTGTGCAGGGAAAGGCTAGAGTTTGACATTGAGTGTCCTTCTCAGTGTCTGTCACTGCGCCTGTAACCTGTTTGGGGAAACTAGACAGCAAACGCATGGCATCCTGTAAGTGGAGGGCTTTTACATAGGTGCTGGGGATCTGCAAGCAGGTCCACACTTGCACAGTAAATCCTTGGCTCTTCCCAGCTCCCTGCTCTGCTCTTTACAGCATCTCACCTTAGGGGTGTTTACCTACCTTTTCTGATAATGTTACCAGCTGTCCTCAGTTATTCTCCTGGTGATTCTAGCACACCATACCTGCGTGTCATCCACCATCTTTGATCCGTATTTAAAGTAAGGTTAACATCGTTAACATATTTGGCATCAGTAAAATGTGATCATAGGAAAAAGTTTTAAAAGCCTTATGCAAGTTTGTGCTTGTATCCCTAACAGGTGTTCCTATGAAAATATTTGCAATCCTACCAAATAAACATGAAAGACGAGTACTTTGGAAGATTCTGTTCGACCTGTATGCCTGCGAATCTATATTCAGATATGGACGAGTAGAACTGTATCTGTTTGTTAGTGAAAAAGAATTCCGGGTAGGTTGTTACAGATGACTGGCATTGCTGCCTTGAGAGAGTGGTGTGGTCTTCTAGGGGAACTTCCGCTGTGTTTTTAGTTTAGGGCCCCTGACATTTGAGAGTTTTAAGATTATGAAGTTCTGTAACACAATCTTTAGAGTCAAGTTAGGGCTTTAAAATTTTTTTTAAATAAATATGTTTGGTAGACTGTTTTAATTATTTGCCATGTGTAGTTCAGTGGCATTAAATTGTTTATAGTATACATCCAGTACTTGCTGGTTAGCTTCAAAACTTTTAGACTTTCCACCAAATACTTAACTCCTCACCTTCCCAAATGGTCCTGGACCATCTGTGAACTTGGCTTGGAGTCAGTACTACAGTTTTTCTTTTTTCTAGTGGCCAGTTTTTGTTTGCTTACCAATACTGAGCAATAGAAGAATAGCCAACTAATTACCGCCCCTTCAGGTGACCTTTTCTGTAGAAGGGTTAATGCAGATGGACTTTCATTATCTTGGCAAGTTGTGCTGGCTTGTGTGAGAACTTTGGCTATTCCTGATTTCTGGGAAAAGCAGATTAAAAAAAAAAGTTAACATGGGTTCACCTTGGTGGCGTATAACAAATCTCAGTGGCTCAGGTTTGATTTGTGTGCTCTGTTGAGAGCCTGGTGCTTTTCCCCATTTTACTGAGAGGGCCTCCTGGAGCCCTGAACATTGCTTTTAGAATCTACAAACAGACCATGGTGCCTCCTCTGAGTGGGCTGTTGCTCCAGCACAGTTGACAGTGTTGATTGTGCACAAAAGGACAAGGGGATAAGAAGTGAGGGGTGTGTCTTCACCACGTAGTCAATATTGGCTAGCCACGTAGAATGATCTTTGAGGCCATTCATACATCCATACAATATATAAACAAAAATGAGAGCAAGGTACGGAAGAATGCTCATCAGGTTGTAATTTGGCAACAGTAGCCAAACCTGTGATCTAACAATTTGTATGTTTGTGGGTAGAGGGAGGGTCAGAGTTCGAGGTCATCCTCCAATACATAGTTGCAGCCTGGGCTGTGTGAGACCCAAAATTTTGTCTTGCTTACAGGTTCTTTTTGTGCTTCTTTATCATGGTTTTGTTTTTGTTTTTTGTTTTTTTCTCGGTGATGACTTCCATTCACTGATGGCTTCATCCTCAGTGTCTAGCAAAAGTCAGCCTTGCTGGGTGGTGGTTGCACACACATTTAATCCCAGCACTTGAGATGCAGACTGGGCAGATCCCAAGGAAGAGTCAGCTTTAACACTTTTTTTTTTAATGTTTGTGTGTGTGTATGTGTATGTGCGCACGCACATGTGCATGGGTGTTAGCATGTGGGAGTCAGAAAAAAAAAAAACTTTGCATGTGTCATTTTCTCCTTGCACCAAGTGGATCCTAGAAATTGAACTCGGGTTTTATTCAGTGAACCATCTTGCCATCCCCAGCCATGAAAATTCTTTCCGCACAGCATGATAGCTCACCTAATATCGAGTCCTGACATTCCTGTCTTTCTCCATGGTGCATGTTGTTGTGTTGTGTTGTTGGAGCCATAGCACAGGAATTGTTTCTGTCTTACTGTGCCTGTGGCTCAATGATTAGTTTTTCTGATTTTTTAAAATAACGTGTGTATTTATTTTATGTGTATTGGTGTTTTTCTTGCATGTCTGTCTGAGAGTGTCAGATCTTGGAGTTACAGCTGTGAGCTGTAATGTGGGTGCTGGGAGTTGAACCCAGGTCCTCTGGAAGAGCAGTCAGTGTTCGTAACCATCAAGCCATCTCTCCAGCTCCTTGTGTTTATTTTTATTTTTGAAACAGAGTTTTACTCTCTAATCTGGATTCACTATGTAGCCCAGACTCTTTGCCTTACTCTCCCTAGAGCTTGCAGAGGTTATAGGTGTTTGCCACCTGTAATGTGGCAATGTCTGGTCATTATAATTTTTAAATTTTAGCTTTTCTTAAATAAGGTTTTCCCCTGACAGGTCACATCATTAAAAATAATTTCATACATAGTAATTTTTTGAGATTTTGTTTATTTCACGTGTATGATGGTTGCATGTCCATGTACAGTGTTCATATAATGATTGAAGAGGCCAAATGAGGGTATTGGATCTTCTGGGTCTGGAGTTACAGACATTGTGACCTGTCATGTGGGTGCTAGGAATTGAACTTGTATCCTCTGAAAGAACATCCATTGCTCTTAATCACTGAACCGTCTTTCTGGCCTGTGATTTCTTTCTTTCTTTCTTTTCTTATTTAAAAAAATTTCTTTTTATTTAGATGTATGTCTTTATGCCATGTATGTGCAAGGTACTTGGCAGAGCTAGAAGGCACTGGAGTCCCTGGAGCTAGAGTTTCAGGTTTAACAATTCTTGATGCATGATTTAATAGCTCACTGTTGTGAGTGTTGAGTGGCTCTTTGTCTGTGACTAGAACCAAATTCTAGTCCTCTGGAAGAGCAGGTGTTGTTAACCACTCCAGTCATAGAGCAATTTTATAGGTTGCCATTTGTTTTCAAGCAGGGAAAACTGTCCTTAAAAGTGCTTGTAGTTAATGTTGATATTTAGTTCTCATTGTTTTGTTTGTTAAGATGGGAACTCTATGTAGTCCTGTCTGTCCTAGCATTCACAGAGATCCTTCTGCTTCTGCCTCCTCAGAACTGGGTCTAAAGATGTGTGCCACCATGCCTGGCCAATTCTCATTTTTTAATTTAAATTTCTAGATGCTATTAAGATGTTACAGTTAAAATCCAGCATTTGAGATCATGATTCTATGTGACCTAATTTTGTGTGTTTGTTTTCACTAGAAAGTAACAGCGACTCCTGAAAGGCCAGATTTTTATCACGTACTGAGTGTGCTTTGGCAGGTGGCTTGTAAAGTTAAGTTTCTGCACACGGTGAGTAAAGCCTTACATGACAGGAGAATGATGTGACTCAGGCTGGTAAGCAAACGCTGCACTAAAGGTTAGTTTGAAAGATTCGTTTCAGTATTTTCCACCTTGTTTAACTTTATTTTGAGATAGAGTGTACTATGTAGCCTATGTTTTTAACAAAATCATGATGGTTCAATTTTACCAGTGAAGACTCAGGAGCCAGATGCTGGGGTGAAAGCCTGCTAGCTCAGAGAGGCAGAGAAAGCACCCAGCTGACCTTCCTACTTAGCCAGTGTCCCGGAAGGGATGGCCTTGAATTCACAGAGATCCTCCTGCCTCTGCCTCCTGAGAGCTGAAATTAAAGTCAAGTGTTATCACCAGCTCTTAAAAGGAAAATAACATTGAATTTTGTTTGGCATTTTTTTCCTCTTAGCATAAAAGTAATATAATTGTCTCATGATAAAAGTAGAAAACTTGGCTCTACAGAAAGGAAGGAAATCTTATGAGTCACTCATTGCCTTAGTTCTGCAGGTCAAGAATCACTAGTAGGACAGGTGAAATACTTTTATTCTTCTGTTTTTCCCATTCTTTTCTTTCCTTTTAATATAGTAAATATTCTATTGCTTTGGTTTTTGAGGCAGGATTTTTGTGTGACCTTACACTTTCCATCCTCCTTTCTCAGCTTCCTTGGGTACTAGGATTATAGATTTGTATCACCATATCCAGTGTTCTCTTTACCTGTTAGACAAAATGTGCTGTATAAGTATTATAATTCAATAGTTAAGTCAGTGTTAATACTTATTGCATAATGCCAGGTTAGTTTGAAGTGATTTATCCTTTTATTTGTGTGGTGATTTTGGATTTGAACACAGAGACAAGTGCTCAAATTCAGAGATCTACAGCCCTAGCCCCTGGATTGTTTGTTTTGTTATTGCAGGCTGGAGTAGACAGGGTTTCATGTGGCCCAGGCTGCCTCTACCTCCCAAGTACAGAGACTATAATTGAGCCGGGTGGTGGTGGCACATGCCTTTAATCCCAGTACTCGGGAGGCAGAGGCAGGCAGGTAGAGCTCTGTGAGTTCAAGGCCAGCCTGAACTGCAAGTCTACAGAGTGAGTTCCAGGACAGCCCAGGCTGTCCTGAGAAACTCTGTCTCAAAAAAAAAAGGAGAGAGAGATTATAATTATAGACCACCACCCCCAGATTTACAAAGGTAGTTTTTTTATTTTTTTTGTTTTGTTGTTGCTGTTGTTTTTATTAAGGCAATAATAATTTGAGGCATTTTGACTAAAGAAAAATAAATAAAGGAATTGAGGAGCCTTGGTCCTCATTTGTGATATGTAAACTGAAGACTGTCCTGGGGTTGAGATGGCTCAGTTGCTAAGTGCTTGCACTACAAACACGAGGACCTTAGTTCAATTTTTAGCACCCATGTAATGTTTAATGCAGTAGCCCATGATTCTAATCCCAGGGCTGGGAGACAGAGACAGGAGGATCCTTGGACCTTGCTGGCCAGCCAGCCCTACAGAATCCATAAGCCCCAGGCTCAGTGAGAGACTCTGACCTGAAAAATAACATGGAGAGAATGATAGGCAAAAACACCTGCAAACAACCTCCAAGCTCCACACAAATGTGTGCGCATGTGCCAAGCACAGACCTACTGAAAGATCTTGTCTCTTTTCCTTCCTCTAGGAACCTGGGTCGTCATTTAATGTGTATCCCGAATATGGGACCCTAGAAAAGTCAAAGCAGGGGGTAAGAACAAACAATGCTATTCCCTTTTATCACGTAACTAAGTGTTTCTTTTCTTTTTTTTCTTTATGTTTTATTATGTATACAATGTTCTACCTGCATGTACAACCCCAAAGCAGAAGAGGGCACCAGATCTTCTTATTGGTGGTTGAGAACCACCATGTGGTTGCTCGGAATTGAACTCAGGACCTCTGGAAGAGCAGCCAGTGCTCTTAACCTCTGAGCCATCTCTCCAACCCCGGTTTTATTTTTTTAAGATTGTCTTTATAGGCTGTTGAGATGGCTTAAAAAAAATAGAGATCTTTATTCTGTATTAACTTAATTTTTTTCAGCAATAAAATTGTGCATACATATCTGTGCAGACACACAATAAATAGATATATGCTTAGAAAAAAAAAAAAAGGAGTAAGGAAAAGCTAGTCCATGATACTTCTGTATCCTTAGGTCTGGTGGTGGCATCCCTTGAACACAGCAGGGGCATGTGGAGCTTTGTTTGAGCTCTGAGTTTTACTAGAGTCAAAAGTCAATACACTTGGCTCTTCCGGTTAGATAGAGGTTGCTGTTTGAACTTCCAGTTCAAGAAGTGGCGAGTGGTTTGCCCTGGAGCTGAGGGATGGAATTGGACCTCCCGTTACGTCTTCTGTGGCAGATAGTGAGCAACTGCTCTTCATCATACATAGAGTAAAAACCTCCTTCTAGGCTACTCTTTGTTCAGAACTCTGACGTGGCCCAGGTTACAAAGTGTTAGGCCTTCAACAGGAACACCCAGAGATGTGTGGGGCTCTGCAGCAAGTGGCTTGGAGGAATAAATAGTCTGGTAGTAAGTACTCTGGTAATAGTTTGACTGAGAAAAATTACTTTTTTTTCTGTCTAGGAGTTATTAAAAGTATCAAGGAAAAAAAGCCTATATCTTGTTCGATTGACTCCTCGTAGGAATTTATTTACAGAAAACTTAAGTCCTATGACCTATGAAACATTTTTCCACATGGTAAAGCACTGCTTTGGGAAGCGCAATGCTCCAATAGTACAGCATTTACGGTAAGTAGAAATTCGATGAAGACAAGTTTAAAAGTAGTGAAATAGTGAGACTGTCTCTTGTGTTAGAAGGTGGCTTTTCACATCTTGGTTTACAGTCAGGTGTACCCATGTTTCATTTACCTGTTACAAATGCTTCCTTCTGGGCTGGACAGATGGTTGAGAAGCAGCCCACAAACACCTGTACTTCCAGCCCCAGGGGCTCCAACATCCCCTGTTTGCCTCTGTGGGTTCCCACACACGTGACACATGCACCTACCCATAAGATAAAACTCAAAGAACAATAAATAAAAGTACCTCTTCTCCCTTTTGTGCGTTATGTTTTCACACACTTCCTCTGAGCTTCACTTATTTTCATCTTTAAGCAGCAGAACATAGGATACTCAAAGGTTGTCTTATGTTTGTTCAGCTTTGTTTGCTTTGTTTTTATGTGTACCCACATGTGCTGTGGAGGCCAGAACAGCGTGGCGCAGCCCCTGGAGATGGAACTATAGGTGGTTATGAGCTGCTTTTCATAGGTGCTGAGAACTGAGCTCAGGTCCCCACAGCAAGCACCCTTAACCGCAGAGCCATCTCTGCAGCCTGCGTCATGTATTCTCCATTCACCTTGTAACTAGCAGGCCCTATCGTATTGTCAGAAGATAGAAAAGGTGTTATTTTAATTAATCATCGTTTACCATATAACCTTAATAGGACTTGACTGGAAATATTTATTCTTAGTTAAGTAAGTAGTTTTACTTGTTTCGTTCTTTATTTTGACATTGGGTTTCATGTAGCCTTAACTGTTTATACAGCCAGATAAGACTTTGAACTTCTGACCTTTCTGCCTTCACCTGCCAAGTGCTGGGATTATGGGTGTGTAGCTGTGTGCTACTACTCTCAGTGTTCACATATAAAGGTCAAACCTCTAATCTTAGTACCCAGTAGCTTGAACATTTGTTCAAGGCTTACATTGTTAGTTCCAGACCAACTGGGGTAGAAAGTGGAACTGTCTTTAAGAAACCTCAAGTGGTGGTGGAGCCTTTAATCCCAGCACTTGGGAGGCAGAGGCAGGTGGATCTTTGTGAGTTTGGAGGCCAGCCTGGTCTACAGAGCTAGTTTCAGAACTACACAGAAACCCTGAAAAAAAAAAAACAAAAACAGAAACCCCTTACATATACACAAAAGTTTCAATTGTCAGTAGACCACTAAAAGAAACCTAATTTTCATCTTGCTGTCTTGTGGTGGTGGCTATTTAAATGCAGATATCAAAAAGAACGAAAGAGAAAAAAAATCAGGTGTGTGTGGTGGCACACACTTTGATCACAGTACAGATTTAGTCACAGCAGAGGCAGGAGGAATTTGAAGCTAGCCTGGTCTACATAATAAGTTCAAGGCCAGCCACCACCGTATGGTGAGACCCTACCCAAAATAAAAATAAAAAGATATTATGTAAACTAGAATTTTTGTGAGAATTAATTACATCATGTTAAAGCTTAAATCGGTGATTTTCATTACAGGTTATCTCTGAAATAATAAGAATAACTTGCCCTGTCCTGGTCTCCTAAGTATTGAGATTTTAGGCTTACTATTTTTATGTTCATATTTCTTATCTAAACTAAGTGTGGTATACACACCTAAAATCCCAGTGCTTAGGAGGTAAAGGCAGGAGGAAGAAGTTCAAAGTCATCTGTACAGAGAGATGAGAGTACATATATTATATGGAAACTCTTAACTAAATTTATTCATGTGCTAGCCATTTTTATTGGACAGAGGAGGTAGCTCTCAGATGTAATTGAGACTCGTTGTGAAAGGGAACTAAGCGTGTTTACTTGGATTTCCTTTGCAGTTCACTGAGTTTACTTGATCCTCTTAAAATACTGAGGCAGGCAAGAAGAAGACCTTCAGAGATAGTAGTTAAACTGCATCCTTATGATTTCAAAAGACTTTTTGAAACTATACAGTGTTCGGAGGATTCTGTCTTTAAATGGGTGTATGAGGACAGCTTGGAGGACATTGAGCTCTAGGAAAAGTCTGCAAGCCACGAGCTGGAGCTGTTTGTTTATTTGAAAATTATGAGACAAATGGAAATGGAATTCAAGAAGCTCACTAAGAAGAAGAAGAAGAAGAGAAACTATCCTTGTTTGGAACAAATGAGGCAAATAATTTCTTCTGAAGTTGATACAGTAAAATGCCCTGGAACAAACAGTGGAAGCTGTTTTATTCAAAACTGAATAAATGAAAACTTGAGTTGTCAGTTTGATCAGATGAAATTTGTTTTGTTTTAAATTATTATTATCTTCTGTAATTTGGTTTATTTTTTTAGACAGTCTTTTGGCCAAACATCCTTAAATATCACACTTTTCACCATTGTCAATCACTTCCATCCTCCTCCAGTTTCTAGAAAATAAATTGGTTTGGCCAAGCATGGTGGTGCAATGCCAGTTTCAGCTGTACAGTCAGTTTAAGACCAGTTTGGGCTAAGAAGTAACCCTGTCAAACAAAACAGAATAAAACTCATTTCAGAAGGTCACTAGTTTTTCTTTCAGTATGTGAAGTAGATTATTAATGCTAGATAATGTCATTGTCTAAATTTTAGTATGTTTTTAACTTTTTTGGAAATAAAAATGTTATATAATATTTTGGTTTTCTCGTCTCCAAGTGCATAAATAAATTAATCCCCAACTTACTTCAGTCCTGTGCAGCCAGTGTGCTTCCAGTGCATGAGTCAGTGTATTTAACTGAAGTTTCCTGAGGAGTTAATTGCTGGGTTGTGCACCGGCAGTAGCATGGGTGGCTGAGGTGGGGGGTCAAGCCAGTGAGAGTTGGAGATGAAATGGGGTGCTTGTGGGGTCAGGATCTCATGTCAACAGCAGAAGCTTGTAGAGCTTGCTGTACTCAGTTCCTGTCGCACATTGAGGCTGGGTAACAGTGGCAGGAGTACAGAAGGACAAGACGTGAGAGGAGTTCACTCCAGACAGCCTAGCTAAGTTACATGCTGAGGCTCAGTTGGAAAGGCTCTAAAGATCTTGTGTCAAAAAAATTAAAAGATTTGCCCACCACATGCTTATGCACACATAACACACACACAAGGATTTCAAGGATGGTGATCTATGTCAGCGGTGGAGTGCTTGCCTGTTATGGCCCTGGAATGAATCCACTATACTCAAAAAGAAAGGGACTTGGGGATGGGAACACCTTGAATTCTTAGCTTATAAAGTAAGGTCATCCACGTTTTAAGTGGGAGTTGTCAATCTGGTAGAGCGCTTTACTTGGTTTGATCTTCAGCACAATAAAAAAAAAAAAAAAAAGCCCAGCCTGGGTGGTAGAGGCACATGCCTTTAATTAACCTAGCACTCAGGAGATAGAGGCAGGCCGATCTCTGTAAGTTGGAGGCCAGTCTGGTTTTCAGGAGTTCCAGGACAGCCAAAGCTACACAGAGAAACTGTCTCGGAAAAAAAAATAAAAAGTTCCTGTTGAGATGTGGCTCAGTTTTCAAACAGTTGCCCCAAATGTATAAGGCCCTTGAAGAAAAATAAAAACAAACTAGATCATTTGGGACCTAAAGGTACTTTCGTAGCGACAGGTGGTGAGCAGCTCAGAAACTGGGGTGCCTTTTATGCCCTCTTTCTCCCACACACCAAACTTCAGATCCTGGACTTACTTTTGGCTATGGGCTTTATGGTGGTTTGTGAACTTGACACAATATAGAATGACTTGGGAAGAGAGTTTCAGTGAAGGCTTGTCTTTATTTGGTTGGCCTGTGGGTGGGACTGTCTTAATTTATGTGGGCAGACCCAAGGCACTGTGGGCAGCACCATTCCCTAGGCAAGAGGTTCTGAACCATGTAACAGTGGAGAGATCAGACTGAACGTGAGTGAGTGTGTATACATTCGTCTCTCTGCTCTTGACTGTGGATGTGATGTGAGCAGCTGTTTGAAGTTCCTGCCTTGAGTTCTCCAACATGATAGAACAACCTGGTGTTTCTAACTGAAACAAACACTTCTCATTTCAGTTGGGTTTTGTTGGTGTATTTTATCACAGCAACAAATGTTAGCTGTCTGGCTTAGAACTATGATATACCAAACAATTTAATGAAATCTGAAGACATTAAAGATTACTTAGAGCCAGGCATGGTAGCACACACCTTTAGTCCAAGCACTCAGAAAAGCAGAGGCAGGTGGATCGCTGTGAGTTCAAGGCCAGCCTAATCTGCAAAGTTCAGGACAGCCAAGACTACACAAAGAGACCCAGTCTCGAAAAACAGTAACAAATTTACTTAGAATCAAAAAATCTCTCTAGTCCTCAAAGCTTTTATTTTTCCTTCCAAGTCTCAACAATTTCCTTTAGGTAAGCCTGTGGGCAGCCTCAGAGACAAAATGGCTGAAGAACTGTCTTGTTTCCAACAGCTGCCCCTTTACCATGCCTTGCAACTTTGGAGTATTCGAAGACTAGAACCATGGTGTTAGATTAGCAGATGCAGCCTTCAGTAGTAAGTTGCTTTCCTGTTCTTTGGGGTTCTGCTATCTTTTATAAGAAATAAAAATGATGAGTTATTTAATCAGAGTCAAGTGGTAACTGATTTTACAATTTAACAATAATAATGGATACTTGTTAGACTTGTTTTATCATAGTGTTTCAAAGTAATTAAATCATAGAAGCAGTCAGAAAGACGTTAGGTCATTGTATTAGGCTTCTCTAGAGTGACAGGACTTACAGAATGAATCTATTTATAGAAAGGGAATTTATTAGATGACATGATGTGGTCCAGATAATCCAACAGTATCTGACTGTGAACAGAAAGTCTGAGAAACCAGTAGTTGTAGAATCCAGTATTGTTCAGTCTAGAAGACTGAATGTCTCAGCTGATCCTTGGTATACTCTGGAATCCTGAGAAAGTAGCTCTAATGCTCAACCTTCCTAACGCTGTGATCCTATAATACAGGTCCTCATGCTGTGGTGACCCCCAACCATAGTTATTTTCCTTGCTACTTCATAACTGTCATTTTACTACAGTTATGAATTGTAATGTATTTTGGGAGATGGAGATTTGCTATGGAAGTGAGAGCAAACAGGCATTACAATGGGCACATGGCTTCTTTCTTCCATGCCTTTATATAAGCTCTCAGTGGAAGGTGTGGTCCAAATTAGAGGTTTGTTTTCCTAGCTCAAAAGATCTGGATTAAAGGTGTGTCTTCCTACTTCAAATTACACAAAAATCCCCCACAGTTGTGCTGTTCGTTGGATTTTAGTTCATTCCAGATGTGGTCAAGTTGACAACCAAGAATAGCCATCATAGTCATTAAAGAATGTCTTAGATTTTAGTTGAAACATTCGAGCTGACTAGTTTGATGGTAGCTTGACACAGGTGAGAGTCATCAGAGAGGAAGCAAGCCAGTAAACAACACCCTTTCATGGCTTCTGCATCAGCTCCCACCTCCACGTTCTTGCCCTGCTTGAGTTCCTGCCCTGACACCCTTCAGTGATGAACGGTGGTGTGGAATCCATATAAACCCTTTCTTCCCCAGGTTGCTTCCTGGTGTTCATCACAGCAATAGTGACCCTAACTATGAGAACATTTCATCTCAGGTTGTTTGCTCTTGTAACAGGGTTTTTGGTGGTTTTGGTTTTGTTTGGCTGTGGAACCCAGGACCTTAGACATGCTAGGCAAGTATTCTGCCAAAAGACCTCTCACCAGCCCGACACTAAAGCAACACGCCTGGTGCGTTTGACATTGGTGTTTAACCAAAGCTTCCCAAGTTTGCCGCCATTCTATCCATGACAGTGAAGGACAGCTTTAGGCTGGGTTTTAAAATCTGTATCCGTTTATGATGCCTAAATACCTGTAAGTAAGTTTTACATCTTAGTAGCAGTTGGTCAAAATGGTTTTCTCTGCTTTTCCTTCTGCCATTGCTTTACCGTTGAGTGTGGTTGGAAATGCTGGGTGTTCTGCATTCTTTTGCCACTCACCTCCACTACATAGTCTGGCCAGTCTTCATAATGCTTCTCCCCAGCCATGTGCTTTAAGCCTTGATTCTTCTTCATATGTCTTCACTCTGTCTTCACCCATCAATTCAGTACAGGGAACAATCTACAATAGCTGTATATTTGATTTTGAGGGACTGAATTGATTGAGCATGCAGTAAGCAAAAGAGCAAGTAGCAGAGAGTAAAACATCATCACATTGGACACATGGCTTACCCTGATTGGGAGAGGAAGCAAATCACACCACATCAGGCACTTATGACATCTATCCTAAATGACTATGGGAGCCCTGCTGGAGCCGTTGTATTGGAGTTTTGGTGGTTAAGAGAGTTCAGGCAGAGGGTTCTCTACATGGAAAAGCTTTCTGTTCGCTGGTTCTCATGGCTGGCATTTTTATTTTTTTTATTTTAATTTTTATTAATTACACTTTATTCACCTAGCATTTTTATATCATGCTAAACAAGTTATCTCTTCTGGAAGTGCTTTGTCCTCTGGCTGTTCTCAAGAGTACAGAGTTTTTAGTATCCTTGGATGCTTTCCCTTCTCCATTATACTTGTTACAGAGTCAGGGGCCCAGCCTGACCCAGGACAGGGAGTCTTGAGGACATAAGATAAACATATGGGGTCAGGGATGTGGTGACTCTTTATTCCCAACCACTTTCACTTTTGATTCTTGTTGGTTTGTTTTTTAGTCAGAGCTCACTATGGTAGTCCTGGCTGGCCTAGAACCGAGCTGACCTCAAACTCACAGAGACCCATCTGCCTTGCCCTTTTAAACGCTGCAGTTAAAGGGGTATACCACCAAGCCCAACCCAGAGTTCATGACAACTTACCTACATATTTACATTACCTTATCTCTGCTATATTAACGTTTATAGTATCTCTTTAATCTGTTTTATTTTTCTATAGATTCTTTTCTTAACTCAGTTCCTGATCAACATCAGGCTTGCCTGAGGTTTCTTAACTCAGCTATACCTTGTGATTTTAACCTATGACTGACATCACTACCCACTGGAACACTATGGCTTTCTGAATCTTAGCACTGATATTGATCAAGAATTGATTATTGAGTACTTGAAAGGCATGGTGGCACACTTCACTAATCCAGCAGAAGGATCTCTCTGAGTTCCAGGCCCGTGTGCTCTACACATCAAGTCTACACAGCAACCAGCAATCCTTTCTTTCTTTTAAGATTCATTATACCATCAGAGAGATGCAAATCAAAACGACCCTGAGGTTTCACCTGACACCCACCAGAATGGCTAAGATTAAAAAACTCAAGTGACAACACATGCTGGAGAGGTTATGGAGAAAGGGGAACCCTCCTCCATTGCTGGTGGGACATTTGCTCAACCACGTTTGTAGCAGCTTTATTCGTAACAGCCAGAACCTGGAAACAACACAGATGTCCCTCAGTTGAGGAATGGATACAGAAATTGTGGTACTTTTACACAATGGAATAATACTCAGCAATTAAAAACGAGGAAATCATGAAATTTGCAGGCAAATGGTGGGACCTAGAAACGATCATCCTGAGTGAGGCATCCCAGAAGCAGAAAGACACACATGGTATATTCTCACTTATATAGACCTATAAGATAGGATAAACATACTGAAATCTATACACCTAAAGAAGATAGATAAACAAGAAAGAG